GAATGAAATTTCGAAAATTTCCGCCAACTAGATGCCTACTTGGTCTAACAAGAAATTTTTTAGAAAGCAGTTCCAAAATTCATTTTTCTTTTTAAAAATTATGCGAGATAGCTCGAGTCGTCGAGAGAGCTGCAAAAAGATTCTGCTATAACTCACCGAGGGATGGAGTAGTATTCACCCTTCGTGTACCCTTTCTGTTTTTCTGTAAAGCTCAAATATTAGGACGTCTAGCAATACACGTGTTCCAAATATTTGAAAAGACGTTTTGAGAAAACTTTGATGCCGTCTAAGGAACACACGACGCACTTTTGAAAAGTAGTAAACAAAGTCCAAATGACTTATTTTGAGTCTAAAAATACGTGGTACTTCTATCTCCTCGGAATACTGGGACACCCTGTATACATCTCAGGAATATGCTATAAAATAGTTTCATTCTTTTGTAGATTTTTTTTCAAATGATAGCAGCTTCTTTATGATTCTAAATACATATGTTTTATTATGCTTGTTTTCATTACTCCAATCAAAGGCCTAAATTATATACAAGGTGTTGTGAATTCGACCCTCACCATTGGGATTTCGGAAAGTGTAAGAGATACCAAGACGCTTAAATCGGGGCAAAGTTGCGTTTTCAGATAATGCCGCATAGATTTCGAAATTCCAAGTACTTCCGGGGAGAGACAAAGAGAACGAATTTTCGCAAAATCGTCTGACTCTATTAGTAGTTGGATTTCAAAATAAGTAGCACATTAAAATTGATTCTTTTTCTCCTCTGAAGAATTTGAAAATGACGTTTCATCTTTGTCCTCCAGCATTAAATTTTTTTTTTATAAACGCCATATTTATTTTTTGCACAGATAAATAGAATTTTTAATTCTGATTTCAAAAATGTAAAATATGTCATATAATGTCATTGCTAAAACTCAGTTATTCTTCAAAAACAGAAGTTCCTAGGTGGGTCTTGAAATTCAGATTTCATATGTCTTGTATACCAGCCAGACCTCAAATTGAATATAGCAACAGAGTCTGGAAGACTGAGAAAAAGAGAAATAAGTCGAGCAGTGAACAATGTACAGAGAAGAGTCAGGCTTTGCCTTCAAAATAACGAACAAAATTTTTAACATGTTTTATCTCTGCTTATTTATGATTATTATGGTTGTTCCCCTGAACAAAATTCGCATTTTGTGATTAGGTTTCACCATACTTTTTATTTCCTTATAATTTTTATTCAATAGCAAATTCATGATCAACTAAGGAAATACATCATTGAATTTAGGACTGAAAGGTACATTCAAACATACAAAATTCCAATATAGCGTCCATATGAAAAAACAAAATTTGTGATCCGATTTAAAAGAAGAAATGTCGAAATGAAAATTTGACTACGCCATCTTTTGGAGGAGAATAAGTAACAATGACAACATGCAACTTTTTTTGAAATTTCATCTCTAATCAGCCCAGGTATAAATCTGGTATGCAAAACAAATGACTAATAATTTCAAGGCCTACCTAGGAAATTCTGCTTTTTGAAATAACTGAAGTTTGGCAAGGTCAATATATGACGTATTATATCTTAGGAATCAGAACTAAAACTGTACTCATATATCCAAACGTCCATAAGAAAAACTAAACTTGATGCCTTGAGGACAAGAGAAGAAATTCTAATTCCGCCAGAAAAAGTGGATGTTAATGTGCAAATCCTTTTGAAATCCAACTACAAATAAGGCCAGAAAAAAATTAAAACGATTTTGGGAAAATTCTGTTATTTCCGTCTCTCCCCGGAAGTACTTTGAAAATATGAACTTTCCAAGTGGAATTTTGTTAATTACCTAAATAGGCAACTTTTCCCGCATTAAAACGACTGCGTATATCTTACACTTTCCGAGATCTTAATGGTGAGAGCCGAATTTGAAACACCCTGTATATAAATAAGTTAATTACGCAAAATATGTATAACAGAATAAACTAGTTGGAAGGTAGATTGAACCCAATGATGTAGCTTCGGCTGGTGCTATTCTAGGGGACAAAACGTAGGTAAATTTAACTTATGTTACAAAATAGCAAAAACAGTGTCCCAAATATTTCTAACACCGCCATTTTCCACCGACAGCATTGACTACGCGGAGGTATGCGCATAGCCTTTCTGACAAGGCGAGCCAACTTTAAATTAATAATATTTCATTTTGCGAAATACTTCGCGATTGCAATACTTTCTCGCCTATCGGCGTGGGAAGTAAAAACAAGACCGACGAGATATACATGCCTACCCACGTGGCTCAGTATAAATAAATAAACCCAATAAAGCAAGAAGTACCCCATTCTAAATGCAACAAACTGTCACCTGCAACAAATAGTTTCAGGAAAGTATCACTAAACAAACCAATAACATTTTAAAGTATACTGCGATACTACGAGCTCTATTTGAGCCAAAAATCATTTTACGCTCATAAACTCCTCGAAATGTTGAACAAAAACTCGCATATGATGTTTACGGCATACATAAAGGACGGGCATCCGTGCCAGTTTATCTCAGTGTTTATTACTTAAGGTAGATAACGAGACGTGTGGGAGACATCTATGTTCCGCAAAATGTGGTATACACATTTCATATAGAGAGGCATTCAGTAGAAGAGATGTCATATTCCTCCCAAAGGAATGGGAGCAAATATGGAAATATATGATCTGGAAATAGCATTTTATGTGTCCTGTTGCTTGAAGAGTATGTTAAGTTAAGGAGAACTACCTCAGTTGCCGAGGCTAAGTCGCTATGAGGAAGTAATAAAGAAAAAAGATGCAGTTTTACATGAATTGCACAGAAAGAGAGGATCAAGGAATCAAGTCAGTCAAACAGGCTCATAGAGTTACTCCCTGGTCCTCACCCGTCTGCGATCCATTAACGTCTCTCCTACCTTCCGTACCGACCAACGTTGCTATGCTAAATATGATAATGCCAAAAAAATTAGATACGCCCTCTCCTACCGTCTATACAGGGTGACTTTGAAGTTGAGTCATTAATTTTCAGATAATGATTGTAGAAGGAAGCTAAACCAAAATATGTGTGTAAAAATAAAAAAACATTAAAAAAATGTTACCTTGTTTTATAAAGTATTCTCCCGACAAGTATTTCAGTGTGGACCTGTATTTGATCGTGCGGTCTTGGAGCACCGGCAGGCCCTCCCCTGTAAGGTCTTAAGTCTCCTGATTCACGAGCCCTTTGTACTATATTAACAAAGGCACGAGGGGTTGGTTGCACTCCATTGGGAAACCGATTCGCACAAATCCGTGATGCCGCGGCAGCATTATGTAAAGACTCCCCGTAAATAAGAATCATGTCCACAAGTTCAGCATTTTCGTAAACATGTGCCATTTTTTATTTCGTTTGAGCCACGCAACAAACACCACTATTCACTCACGCGTTACCGACTGACGAAAAACATCGTGATAAACGTTTCAAATTCTTGCGCTTTTTTGTTTCCGATGCGATGAACCGATAACGAGGAGTATATCCGTTGCCAAACACGAGCACATAATATTATTATTGAGAAAGGGCGGTACTCAAACTTCTAAAGGGCTATAACTTTGTTACTTTAATTTTACCAGAAAAATGTTAAAGGAAAAAACATTTCTTTTGATCAGATCTACTCACTGTTAAAATAAATGACTCAACTTCGAAGTCACCCTGTATAACTCCACCTCTCACTTTTCAAAGATGAGCAGGAGCCTCCAAACGTGAAAAAACCGAATGAGCGACCTTAGTTTTTATGTTACAGATGGAACAAGGATTAGCGGACAGACACACAAACAGATATTAAGTTGAAAATATACAGGATGTTTCAGGAAGACGAGCCAATATTTCTAGGGTAGAAAGATGCTTCCCTAATGAGATACACGGAGATGATGATTTATTTACGAAATCGAAAAAATATATATCTACGAAGCGGATAAAGATACTGAATTAAGATTTAAGACGCACTTCAGTGCATTTCGTTCGTCCTAGATGGCAAATATATATTTAGTTTTAGAAAATTGCGAGAACTTAAGAAATCTTGTTTTCCAAACAGAAAAGGTTCTTTGTTATGAGATACGTGAATGCGTGGAAACCGATAATGCCGTTTATTTGACAACATTTGTGTAACCTTTAGTGCTGATTGACGGCTGCTGTTGTCAGGATGAGTAAAAGGAAACAGAATACCATCGATTGGATCTTTCTAAACAAAACAAAACTGTCTGATCCACCGGCACATGAATTACCGGAAAAAACTGATGAGAATGCTACAATTATTCAACCTGAGCCGTCTACTTCAAAATTTCTTGATGTTGCACCGTGTGCTGAACCAAGTGTTAAACAATCGGGTGCGAAACCTAAAGGATCCAATTTTGTTGATGTTGCGCCATATGTAAATTTCTTGTCTTCCCATGAAAAATATACCTTATTGAGGTGTGCAATGATCCCTAATGACTCTTTCAAATATCCCTATTCCACACACTTGAAAAATAATAAAGAAGTGAAATGTTACTTATCAAAATAACACTTTGAGAAATTTCCTTGGCTCATATTCAGAGGAACTACAAGGGCTATTCTGAAAATATTGCGGGGTTTTTGCAAAATTAGGAGTACATAAATCAACTAAATTGGGAAAACTTGTTACCGTACCGTTAAAGAAATTTTCGAAACAGTATAGCAAAACCGGTGATTGTGAGACACATGAGAACTCAGTATATCTTACAGAAGCAGTTGCAGATGCTACAAACTTTTTAAAGATTTACGAAAGTCCAGAGAATTACATAAGAAATATAATAGGTTCAGAGCAAGTATCAGAAGATCGACAAAGATTGTCTGCTATAATACTTAGAATCTATAATTTTTTTACGACGCCAAAATATACCACATAGAGGGCATAGAGATAGGGGACGACTTTTTTCTAATGACAGCACGAATGACGAGGATGTCCTTAATAATGAAGGGAGTTTTAGAGAACTAATACGGTTTAGAGTCGAGAGCGGCGACAATTTATTGAAAAAAAACTTAGAGAACTCTAAAGCGCATGCTACGTACATAAGTAGCCGCATCCAAAATGAAATTATGGAATGTTGTGGCGAAGAAATCTTGGATATAGTTTTAGATCGCGTCAGGCAAAGCCAGTGTTACAGTATTATATTTGACGAAACTACAGACATTAGCCATAAATCACAAATGTCATCATATTGTGGTATTGTTATCAAAAACATATTTACGAGGACTTCATGGGATTTGTGGATTGCGGCTCAAATTTTGATGAAGGTACAGTGGAGCCCAAACTCACAGGTCAAATTCTTGCTCAACCAATCGAGCATTCATTAAAACCAATAAACTTATACTCAAAACTATGTGTGGGCATTGGTACTGATACATGTAACCTAATGTTAGGTGAACAAAAGGGCGCTGAAATGGAATTGCAAAAATGTTTGCCAAATGCTCTAAAAACCCCATGCGCAAATCATGCGTTGAATCTTTCGATTTCAAAAAGTAGCAGTGCCTAAGCAGTAAGAAATACTGTAGGTATAAGAAGTAATTGCGTCATTCAAAGAATCCGCTAAAAGAAATACAGTGTTAATAAGAAAACTGGACGGGTGTCAAATTCGTAGTCTGTGCGAAACACGATGGACCGAGAGACACGATTTTGTGCTCAAATTTGGAAGCAAATTCGAGTAAATTTTAGAGGTACTAAGTATTATGTTAAATTGGAAAAACCGCGAAGCTTCTTCAAAACTGGAGCTTTGAAGACTGCCAATACTTCCACCCAATATCTCATATCACTAAAGTATTTGTGTGATTTATTAGCTTTAACAGTCAACCTGAGTAAGATTTTACAATCAAAAACAATTGACAAACAATACGCTGTCAAACTCATAGGAAATATTATTTCAGTTGTACAAGAAAGATGCGCATTACAGGATTTGGTATACCGGTTCAATGAAGAATCTTAGAATATATACAATTTTAATATTTTATTAAAAAGTGGAGGTGAAGTAATGGACATATTAGAAACAATTGTTTTATTTTGAGACTGTGAACTGATGTAGTTTCATAGTTTGTAAGTTTTTGTGTTTTGAGACTGGTTAGAGAATGTAATTATGCAATGAATATTTTTTGTGTTTTTCTCATGATTAAGAATTTTATTTTGACTTACATTCAGTTTTATACTTTATAGAAGTCGTAAGATATTTGTTAATGTTATTTTTCTCATGAAGATGTATTTTTTGTTGTTTTGTCAGACATTGTTATGTAGAAAAGTTTGTGTTGGTTTTAATATATGAAGATTGCTCGAGCTTTGTTTGCTTTATTTACACTTTGATTTCGTATGATTCAAAATTAAAATAAAATTGTATGTATTTTCTACAGAAATTACTGTAACAAATTCATATGTCTGCACATGTCATGCTTTTAATAAATGATTATCACACTTCAGTACCTCAGACTGAGAATTTACTTTCCATTTTACCCCTCCCAGACTTAAATCCTGGGAGCGCCACTGGGTAGGGGAGCATCTTTGGACCAATATTTATAGGAACTTTTTTTGTTATTTTTTCATGTACCTTCTACTCTAGATATTTGGCAGGTTTTTCTGAAACACCCTGTATATGAACATTCAAATACAGCTTAGCTTAGTATCTTCAACGTTTTAAGGAATGAAACGAATGACCACACTACCATAATGAGCAACTCTGTATCTAACGTAAGTAGATAACCTTTAAGCATCCCACAAACCGGCGCGAAATATTCGCTTTGACTGCGAAAATTTCACGGCGATGAATTCGCAATCAGATTAAAACGCGGCGGTTTACGGACAGGCTCAGACTTGTGCGAAGCGAATGCGATTGTTCCAGCGTTTTTATCGCGGCGTATTTCAGTTCGCCTTTGACCGCGTTTTTGACGCCGTTCTTCAAAAATTCGCAATGGCAAAAACGGAATTATTGATAGAAATAGTGAAAAAGTATCCTTGTTTGTATGATTTGTCGAACGATGAATAATGTGAGAAAGAAAGACAAGATTTGGATGGAAATAGGAAAAGAATTAAATACAAATGGTATGTACCTAATATTTTTTATTAACTTGTTAAATAATTTACAGTCTACACAAATGTGAAAACGAACATTCTATATATTGGGCATAGGCATATCAGAATTAAAATAATTTACAAATTTCACGAGTAGAAAATGCTAGCCTTGCTGCCCGCCGAGGATCATTTGCTATACCTATCAGTAAAAGCTCCAAGCACGGGTTCTGGGGGATCTAAGAATTGAAAATATTTGTCATCGCCACTTTTACTTCGTAAAAAATTGTGTAAAACACATGCCGTACGTACAATTAGAATAGAAGTATCTACTTTAGTTTCTAATGGCCTGTAAAATATTCGCCATTTTTGAGACAAAATACCAAACGCATTTTCCACGACCCTTCTAGCTCGACAAAGTCTTACATTGTATTTCTCTTTTCTGACGTCTGTTAAAGTCTGCTTATAAGGAAATGGCAAATAGCACCAGTAATTGGAGCCACTGTTGTTAGGTCTCTTGATTGTTACATGTTTACCGTCCACGCTGCCAATGCAATTGGGAAATCCCCATCTATTTTCAAATTCTTCAGCACATTTTTTCCATATATTCTCTGTTGGTTTTGGTAAATATATATGCTCCATATGTCTGCATATCGCTTCACAGACTTACGATTGCACTCACTGTTGTAAAGCCAACTCGAAAGCTATGCCCAATGGTATAGAAGGTGTCACCAGTGGCAAGGAATCTATAAAAAAAATCGTTTTTAGGTGATGAAGTAAAAAAAGGTGGAAGAATATCAGAGACACATTTGCAAAATATATAAAATCTACCAAACCAAAGACCGGCCAAGCAGTGGGCAACATAAAAAAATGGCAGTGGGCTGAATACATGGAATTTTTCCGTCCTTTTTTGGCATTTGCCAAAACGTCGTCTGATGTGAAAGATATTGACGTCATACATTATGAGACTGCCGAATTTAACTCAAATATATATCAGGAAAGGGCTGGAAATGTAGAAACCGAAAATTTGGAAGACCGCGACCATGGAGAAGATGAAAATGCTGATGTAGATGCAGAAGATGCACAGAACGCCTCGGCAACACAGACAGCACCACCTTCTTCATTGAACACTACAGCAGTGACTACTCCAGGGCACACCTTTCCGCAGACTGCAACTAACCAAAATATAAAACGAGCAGAAAACGCTATGAACCACAATCTTCGTCTGTACAACAGCTCATTAATTATCTTGAAGGTAAAAAACCTAAAAAAGAGAACGAGGCCATTGATTCACTTTTCTTGGCACATGCACAGACTGTGAAAACACTTCCCTTAAAGCGTCAAGCCCGAATAAAACTAAAAATAGCCGAATTAATAGCGCACGAAGAATTTGAACATATTGAAGAAATGTCTTCAGCGTCTACCCAGAATTCTGCAAGTATGTATGATAGTAGTATGTCGTCCTTCCCAAGAGGCACTGGGTTTACTCCAATAATATACCCAACAGAGGAGGCAAATTCTGCCTCGAATTATTTAGCAACATTTAATCCTAGTGGCAACATGTAGTCCAATTATTACAATAAAATATTTATTTCACGATCCCTGAAGTTTTCGTATTCGATAAGCCTACTAATTTTAATACATATAATTTTTTTACCTGAGTGTAATAGCAAGTCGTTCTTCTGGCGAAATAGCTTCACGATAATTTGTGTCAGATTTTCGTATTTCATCTTTCACCAAGTTCAATATTTTATCGAAACACTCTGGAGTCATTCTAAAATATACGTAAAAGCGCTGTTCATCCAGCCGAAGTTGTGGCATCAAGGTATGGTATTCCCCAAATTTATTTCGTTCCAAGTTAATATCATGTAAACACTTCCTTCGTTTCCTAAAAAAAATTGAAAATATTTCTTTTATGTACTTCGTTAAACTTAATACATACCCAACTATCAAATGGCGTTAAATAAACATAACTTACCGTGCATTTTGTTCCTCTTCTAAAGCAAGAAATAGAAGTGCCTCCTCTTCTTCTGAAGACGAGCTCATTGCAAAAGGGAAAAATAAAATGTACGCAACCTGTCGAAACCTTCACGTTCGCGGAGCGAATAAGACGCTTTGGTATGAATAAACAGGCGAAACAGATTGCGAATTTCGCTCTGAATTTCGTTGCGAATACTTCGCCGCGATTATTTCGCGCCGGTTTGTGGGATGCTTTAACCTTTAACCCATCCGACTTGATGTATCGAATACACCCCAAGCTGACAAAGTAGGGTGGTTCACTGATGGCTTAGTTCCGTTATCCTGCCAGAATTGGCAGCCGGATCCAGATTGCGGAAGCACATCGCAGGAAGACAAAGTTGCGCGACGCGTCAGCGAGATTCCTGCATGCAGGATAGACGGGAGCATTTGTAAGTTTCGACATTATCGTGAAGCGCGATCTGATAGAGAAACCTAAGGAATGGCGTGTTTAGATAGAACGTTCGACTTTATTGAGAGGAAAATGAGAATCAGAGGGATGAACATCTAAGATGTGACAGCAGGATTTGTGCTAGTGGGAGCGATTTGTGTAGTCGTAGGTACGTTGTGACATTATCTCTATCTAATAGATGCCTATGGTGTGACTCGATAGAACGTGTAGCTGAATCTAGAAGGAAATTGGATTGAGCAAGACGAATGGGAACAAATTACATTGAGATTCTTGCTAACAGGAATAGTAGGTGAACTTGTTTGTTTTAAATATTATCGCTATGGGGTGGTGAAGCGCTAAGAAGCAACGTATATAATCATTTAGAATAAGGTGTAGCTGAGCAAGATAGGTAACTTAACAGGTGACGACGTGATTCGTACTAGAAGAAGCAATAGGTGGAATTGTACGTTATATTATTGCTATTCGTTGCAGTAATATTAAAAGCGACCTGTCCTGTTTAGATAAAATTAAAACAGAACAACATAGGTTCCTAATAAATCAGCTAGCAGACATGATGACACATGTCTCACAAATCCTGTGCGTTCTACTATAGGCCGATAGCTCTTCTTTCTGTTATATTTAAGGTGATGAAGAGGTACATAAATCGCAAGCTTCTGGAGTATATCGAACGTCACCAGCAATCTACGGAGGACCTCCTAGCTTACGTCACACAGCTGTGAAGTAAACCACTCCAGTTTTATGGTAAAGCTCATGTCGATGCTCTTCATCTCACGGAAGCGTTCGTGCAAACTTCCATCCAATGATCTCCTAGAGAGGCTTTGCAGATGGATGCCTGACCACAAGATATCCGTCGTAATTGACGGGTTATCCTCTTCATCCCACATGGTTAACGTGGCTGCTCCCCAGGGATCGTTTTTGGCTTCGACGTTGATCCTCTCACATATCAGTGACCACTTCGTTTCCTGTGGAATCAATCCGATCCACAACTTTGCTAGCGGCAGCGCTCTTTATGCAGGAATTCAGAATGACAAGCTATCTGTGCCAGTGAGCTGGAGAAAAGAAGACTAGCAGCGAATTTCTTTCTGACGAGATACCCGGAGGTTATGG